GGGCTGCGGCAGAGGAGGAGCGGGTGAGCGGCTTCGGTTCGCAGAGCTGGTGAGGCAAGCGAGGTGAATCAAACAGCGGAGGCGAGGAAGAAGGCGAGCCGGGAGCTTCGAACAACTTCGTGCAGAGGAGAGGCGAGCGAGGTTATTCGGTCGAGCGAGGAAAGAGGTGGGATCGAACGCAAGGAGCCGGCGCCAGAGAAGGGAGGAGGGGAGGTCGAATAGGAAGAAGGCGAGCCGGCCAGCTGAGCGGGATCGAAAAAATTGGCCTAAACGCATTATCCGTTACAAGCATTAGGCGCCAAATTAAACACCTTCCATGCGGGAAATCCTCATTAGACAAATATTAAATTTCCTCATTAGGAAATAATTAAATTTCAATTTAACTAAATTAATGTGAGATTAAAAGGTCAATTTGAAATTTAAAATTTAAATTTTGAAAATATGTGAGCTGGTTTTAAAATTTGAATTTTGAAAATATGTGAGCTGGTTATTAGGCCATGTTCAGCCCGAATTGAACCCGAATCGAACCTGAGTTGAACTTGGGTTGAGTTCGGACCCGCGCCCCACAAATTAAAAAAAAAAAAAATCATGCATCGATTTTCGTGCAAACTGTGCGTGCACGTAACCCCGGCAATATGGGTGTCCTTTCTAGCTAAAGTAGACGTTCTGGACGCGTCGGCGGACGAGTCGATTTAAGCCTCTTTTGGGCGAGTTTGCCGGCGTTATTTTGGGCCCTCTACATGTTGCTCCTGAGCACTTGCAACTAAAAGTTGAGTGCTTGGAACCACTCATGAGAGTTCTTCACAAAAATGAGTCAAGAAGTGGCTTGAAATTCTACGGGAGGTGGGCTCCATCGCTAGTCCACTAGGATGGTCAATAAGAACTCCTAAAGCTAGATCCTAGGTTCTAAGAGTAGGAGACTAAGACCTCACTAAAAATGAGGTCAACAGTGAGCAGATACAAAAAGTAGATATAAGAAAAACATTGTATTTGGACATTAATCAGTAAAAAAAATATCTTTCAATCTAATACTCTTCTACTACACTAATTTAAACCTAGCAGCTTCCAGTGCATGCAACATGAAATTCTAAAAGGGCTGTTACACTTGAGCAATTAAAAACAAAATACATGGCATTAAACCATTACAAATGCAAAATAAGATTGGGAGCAACAAGATGGCTCAAGAGTTTGGTTAAATTTGAACAATGAAATATAAAATAGATTGCGTCATCCAGTCGACAAAAACAAAATCAGATTTGGAGTACCAAGATGTCAAAATTCTACCACTACCAATGGCCTAATATATTACAAGTGTTAAAGCTAATGTTCCCTTCTTCATGTCAGTACAGCAGAAAACATGGGATCGAGTTTTCTCCAGTTTACACAATTATATAAGAATTTACACACTATATATGAATCCATTTATATTAGAAGTTGGTATACGGAACATCCTATAAAATTCACAGAAGTGCATCGTCGGGTGATATATGAGCATATATGTATCCTCTCTTCAAAGCAGAAAAGAATATTATAAAGACCACCAAAACTGTGGATGATCTGTGCTTAAATTGCAATGATGAATAGAAACAGTGCATCGCTGTTAAAAAAAAAGAAATGAAGGCAACATAAAGCAAAATAAATCTGCAGAATCATCAGTCAATCATAAAAACAAAATGCTGTGGTGAAGTAACATGCTTTTGCAGCCCAAGTATAACGGATTTAGTAGAAATGTAGCAATAGCTGAGAAGAAAGGAATTATGTAATCAAACTATTCTAGTTCAGTCAATGGAAGTCTTCTACTCGCATTGAAAAGAAAAAAATTGGCACAAATAACCGAAGTATACTAGCATACTCACCTTTGACCGTTAGAGAAGTGCTTATAAGGAATTTTTTGTGTGTTATAATCAATAGCAGATGCATATCCCACTGCATAATCATGCTCTGGAAGTGAAAGAACCTGCATTTACAATGAGTTACAAAAAAAGGGAAATGTAGCATGAAAAAATCATCAGGTCTTGGGGGCAAATTCATCAAATCACAGAGTAGTCTTTTTTAAAATGCAGACCAAGTAATTCTCTTTCACAATCTCAACGGTAGCATTTACAGTTTGGTGTAGCTCCAAATCCAAAACAGATGTTCTATGACGTTTCTGAACAAGAAAAAGTGAAAATCAATTCATAAAATGATAAGAAGAAGACCTACAGAGAGTTAAACAGAGAATAGCTCACCTTCCTAGAACCGTTCATCTTTGCACCATCAATCAACTCTGGTTTGAGAGATAAATCAACAAGGTTATCCGTCTTAGAAATATCCAAAACAAATGCTTTAACAACTGATCCTTTTTCCACATTAACTCCACCCACTTCAAGGAACAAACAGCCATTTTAAAGAAGAAAAAGCACATGAAATGATTTTAAAATTTTAAAAAAAAAATTCTTACATTGATGCTGAGAGACAAAGCCTACAATGCCCCCAGATTTTTCAAAGCCAAGTACAACTCCGGATTCCTTTATCTCTTGCACCTTTCCCATATGTACACTACCAATGCTGAAATCTTTGGCCCAGTTGGAATCAGAAACTATTCCATCCACAGACTGCAACTCTGATATCTGCAGGTTGGAGAAATGGGAATAAAACAATAAGCTTACCCCTAAAAGAAGTTAAATATAATACTTCAAGCTTGGATGTGTCATAATAAGGTATCCAACGCAAAATTACAATTTATAAAAACCAAAAACACAAAAACTTGATGGCAGAGAATTCATTATACCGCTTATCAGTAACTAAGGTAGTAAACAATAGTATCATCGTAATGGATAAAAATACTTTAAAAAAAAGGATTATAACACCATATTGAGAGAATATTATATGGGAGCTTTAAAAAAATATATATTTTCAAAATTCATAAAGAATTATAAAATATAGTGGATTAAAGATTGATCTAAAAATGTGAAGCATGCATAAAAAATAGACATTTGGTACAAATGAGATAAATACAAAGATTTGGAAAGTTTAATAGGATATTGTAGTGGTCTAGTTAAAAAAATTTTAAGAGAAATTTTGAGGATTTAAAGAAATTCGAACAATTCAAGAATTTTGAAAATCAATAAACAAGAGAGAGAAAGAGAGTAATGGAACATAAGTGGAAATTAAATAGGCTTTGTAGCACAGATATGAGGGTTGAGTAAAAGAAGGATTATAGCTCAGTTGAGGGTGGCGGAAACGAAAATTTTAATAAGAATGCATTAAAAAGATGAAGAATAAATTAAAAAATGATGAAGTTAAAGGAAGACTGGCAAAGTGCTCAAATAAATTGTGAATAATAAGATGAACAACTCAAGCAACACTCCAGCATTAAATAAAATATATATATATATATATATATATATTGTGTGTGTGTGCGCGCGCGCAATTTGCGCGCGCGCAATTTGAGGACATCCGGAAATTAAATATTTTTGCTTCGCCCAATAAATAATCTCAATTTATTGGCTCGACCCCAGCTACTTGTTTTCTTCATGTTTTTAATTTGTATTTCATTTT